TCGGCTCCCTGTTTATCTACAAGTGTGTAAAGTAGCCAAAATGTTCGTCTTGCTCTGGCAGTATTTTGTTATACTTTACACCAAATAGGTAAACAAGGGACCAGACTCGGTAGGTGAGGGAGTCGGCTGAAGCTGAGTTTAATAATGAGTAAAAAGGTTGAGACTTTTTGAATTCGATAATATGTTTTTATCTACATGCACATTCAACTTTCATACATTCTTGACCACAAATTGTTCTGTTTTGTTAGTCATTTAGTAAAATCCCACCTTTTTAAAGGCGTCCTGAATCCACATGCGCGTCTTTGGTTGCGAGCATTGCGGCAGTGGTCCTGAAAGAAGTGTAATTGATTGCTTATCACTTAACAGCGAGGGGGGTGAAGCAGTTTTTATCCTGTTGTTGATAAATTCCAGTAAATTTTAGTTTTCGTAGTTTTATTGCTGGCAAACTACAAACAGTACCTTAAAAAATCTTTACAATTTTAGAATTTTGCGTTTTTTTTGGTAATTTTTGAAACATTTTCCAAAAACCCAAAAAAGAACTCGAGCGTCTAAAAGTCCTGCACGTTCATAACTTATTTTTCTGATCGTTTAGGTGAGTTTTACAAAAAAAACTCGCAACATTTTATATTAAAAATTAATGCAGCTATTGGCCGCCTTGTCACCCTGACCGGCTTGCTGTTCTTCTTCCGCTGCTTCTTATTCCTGCGCCTCTTCGACGGGGGCGTTTCGTCCTGGAAAAAGTCTGTTTAAAGTTGGATCATTTTCCATAAAAAGGTATCAAAGTATTCCACAAAAAGAAAATTAGCATCCAAAAAGGCACCGACCGAAGCAGGACGACGCATCGGACCCACGCAAAAAAGTGATTGGGGCTTTTGGAAAGGCGCCAAAGAAATATTCATCAGAAACCTTCATGCAAATTTGCGGAAGAAGCAAAGAGCGCATTCAAAAAGCTCAAAAGTAAATTCTAAAAGGTCAAAAGTAAATTCAAAAAGCTCAAAAGTAAATTCAAAAAGCTCAAAAGTAAATTCTAAAAGCAAAGTAATTCAAAGTAGGGAAAGTAATTCAAAGTAGGGAAAGTACTGATTGATTCGCCAGGTTTAGAATTTACATTCGCCAGGTTTAGAATTAACATTCGCCAGGTTAGAATTAACATTCGCCAGGTTAGAATTTACATTCGCCAGGTTAGAATTTACATTCGCCAGGTTTAGAACTTACATTCGCCAGGTTAGAATTTACATTCGCCAGGTTTAGAATTAACATTCGCGAGGTTTAGAATTTACATTCGCCAGGTTAGAATTTACATTCGCCAGGTTTAGAATTTACATTCGCCAGGTTTAGAATTAACATTCGCGAGGTTTAGAATTCCACATTCGCCAGGTTAGAATTTACATTCGCCAGGTTTAGAATTTTACATTCGCCAGGTTTAGGAATTTACATTCGCCAGGTTAGAATTTACATTCGCCAGGTTTAGAATTAACATTCGCCAGGTTTAGAATTAACATTCGCGAGGTTTAGAATTTACATTCGCCAGGTTAGAATTTACATTCGCCAGGTTAGAATTTACATTCGCCAGGTTTAGAATTAACATTCGCCAGGTTTAGAATTTACATTCGCCAGGTTAGAATTTACATTCGCCAGGTTAGAATTTACATTCGCCAGGTTAGAATTTACATTCGCCAGGTTAGAATTTACATTCGCCAGGTTAGAATTTACATTCGCCAGGTTAGAATTTACATTCGCCAGGTTAGAATTTACATTCGCCAGGTTTAGAATTTACATTCGCCAGGTTAGAATTTACATTCGCCAGGTTAGAATTTACATTCGCCAGGTTTAGAATTTACATTCGCCAGGTTTAGAATTTACATTCGCCAGGTTTAGAATTAACATTCGCCAGGTTAGAACTTACATTCGCCAGGTTAGAACTTACATTCGCCAGGTTAGAATTTACATTCGCCAGGTTAGAATTTACATTCGCCAGGTTAGAATTTACATTCGCCAGGTTAGAATTTACATTCGCCAGGTTAGAATTTACATTCGCCAGGTTAGAATTAACATTCGCCAGGTTAGAATTTACATTCGCCAGGTTAGGAATTTACATTCGCCAGGTTTAGAACTTACATTCGCCAGGTTAGAATTTACATTCGCCAGGTTTAGAATTAACATTCGCGAGGGGTTTAGAATTTACATTCGCCAGGTTAGAATTTACATTCGCCAGGTTTAGAATTAACATTCGCGAGGTTTAGAATTAACATTCGCGAGGTTTAGAATTTACATTCGCCAGGTTAGAATTTACATTCGCCAGGTTAGAACTTACATTCGCCAGGTTAGAATTTACATTCGCCAGGTTGGGAATTTACATTCGCCAGGTTAGAATTTACATTCGCCAGGTTAGAATTTACATTCGCCAGGTTAGAATTTACATTCGCCAGGTTAGAATTAACATTCGCCAGGTTAGAATTTACATTCGCCAGGTTAGAATTTACATTCGCCAGGTTTAGAACTTACATTCGCCAGGTTAGAATTTACATTCGCCAGGTTTAGAATTAACATTCGCGAGGTTTAGAATTTACATTCGCCAGGTTAGAATTTACATTCGCCAGGTTTAGAATTAACATTCGCGAGGTTTAGAATTTACATTCGCGAGGTTTAGAATTTACATTCGCCAGGTTAGAATTTACATTCGCGAGGTTTAGAATTAACATTCGCGAGGTTTAGAATTAACATTCGCGAGGTTTAGAATTTACATTCGCCAGGTTAGAATTTACATTCGCCAGGTTTAGAATTTACATTCGCCAGGTTTAGAATTAACATTCGCGAGGTTTAGAATTTACATTCGCCAGGTTAGAATTTACATTCGCGAGGTTTAGAATTTACATTCGCCAGGTTAGAATTTACATTCGCCAGGTTAGAATTTACATTCGCCAGGTTAGAATTTACATTCGCCAGGTTTAGAATTTACATTCGCCAGGTTTAGAATTTACATTCGCCAGGTTTAGAATTTACATTCGCCAGGTTTAGAATTTACATTCGCCAGGTTTAGAATTAACATTCGCCACTTTCTGAATTTACATTCGCCAGGTTTAGAATTAACATTCGCGAGGTTTAGAATTTACATTCGCGAGGTTTAGAATTTACATTCGCCAGGTTAGAATTTACATTCGCCAGGTTTAGAATTTACATTCGCCAGGTTTAGAATTTACATTCGCCAGGTTAGAATTTACATTCGCCAGGTTTAGAATTTACATTCGCCAGGTTTAGAATTTACATTCGCCAGGTTTAGAATTTACATTCGCCAGGTTTAGAATTAACATTCGCGAGGTTTAGAATTTACATTCGCCAGGTTAGAATTTACATTCGCCAGGTTTAGAATTTACATTCGCCAGGTTTAGAATTTACATTCGCCAGGTTTAGAATTTACATTCGCGAGGTTTAGAATTTACATTCGCGAGGTTTAGAATTTACATTCGCCAGGTTTAGAATTAACATTCGCCACTTTCTGAATTTACATTCGCCAGGTTAGAATTTACATTCGCCAGGTTAGAATTTACATTCGCCAGGTTAGAATTTACATTCGCCAGGTTTAGAATTTACATTCGCCAGGTTAGAATTTACATTCGCCAGGTTAGAATTTACATTCGCCAGGTTTAGAACTTACATTCGCCAGGTTAGAATTTACATTCGCCAGGTTAGAATTTACATTCGCCAGGTTTAGAATTTACATTCGCCAGGTTAGAATTTACATTCGCCAGGTTAGAATTTACATTCGCCAGGTTTAGAACTTACATTCGCCAGGTTAGAATTTACATTCGCCAGGTTTAGAATTTACATTCGCCAGGTTAGAATTTACATTCGCCAGGTTTAGAACTTACATTCGCCAGGTTAGAATTTACATTCGCCAGGTTAGAATTTACATTCGCCAGGTTTAGAATTTACATTCGCCAGGTTAGAATTTACATTCGCCAGGTTAGAATTTACATTCGCCAGGTTTAGAACTTACATTCGCCAGGTTAGAATTTACATTCGCCAGGTTTAGAATTTACATTCGCCAGGTTAGAATTTACATTCGCCAGGTTTAGAATTTACATTCGCGAGGTTTAGAATTTACATTCGCCACTTTCGGAAGTTTTACCACTTTTGGAATTTGTCTTCTAAAGTCTTCTAAAGCCTAAATTATACCCACACGATATGTGTTTTTCCAGCTAATTAGCCTTGAAGGTCCTGAAACCCTAGTTTTTGCAGATTTTATGCTTTTGTATGGCGTTTTCTTGACGGAATCGGTAAACCAACAAGTTTCTAATATCAGGAAGGTGAAGAGACGAACGTGGGTTTTTACTGAAAGCTCAACAAAGCGCCAATAAAGACCACGTTTTAATTCTTTTTCTTGTTCAAAAAGTTATCTTATCAAACCTGTGGATGAATCTGAGCGGAAATGGTACGGAAAAAGCAACCGTAAAGAGAAAACCGGATAAAACTACCTTTTTGATTGAATGCACACAAGGGAGCGTCAAAAGGGACACACTGCGCGAAAGTCGGCGGCCTTTCCGGGGTATAATTTAGACTTTCCATCACTTTAGTTAGCACCAAGTATTTTTAAAACTAAGAAATGATGAAAACGGCTATTTTACATGCCTTTTTTCTTACGAGAGTTGCTCAAACGTCATTTTTCCCGAGTTTCCCGAGTTTTGCTCAAACGTCGTTGCGCAACTGTCATGGTCCCCGCGAAATAAATTCTGAGCCAGAAATAAATCCATTCCCCATTTTATGGTCCCCGAATATTAGTAAAAAGTCGTTTCAGCCCTGAAAAACGTCGTTCAGACGCATTCATTTTTTCACCGAATACTACATTTTGAGCATTCCTAGATCGTTTCCCACCAGGAAAAACACTTTTCGTGGGAGGACAAGAAAAGCAAATCAAGTCATTCCCTACTTTTTAAATTTACTTTCCTTGCTTCGATTTCACCTTCGTTTTTCACTTTTTCGTTGTTGATTTCTATTTTCAGCAGCACCAAGGAGGATGACAAGCTGACCGAGGAGGACACGAAAAGGCAAAGCGCCTCAAAGGGCAAGGTATCGTAGTGTTTGTCGGTTGCAAATATATAATATCTAAATTCTGGCAAGCGGCGCGACGGCCGCCGGCGCCCTGTCGAAGGACAACAAAGCCAAAGCAGCGCAAGCAAAGAAGACGAATGTAGCCAAGTTCACCCCCGAACAGGACGCGGTCGCCGCCAAGTTCTGCAACTTCCTCAATACGACGTCGGCCGAGCAGATTCTCGGTGAATTCGATACGCTGAAGACGTACTGCACGAAAAATGAAGGAAGAGAGGAATGGAAAAAGAATCCCGACAAGAATAGATACGGGGTAGTTTTCTTTTCCATTCTTTTTTTTATTCTATCTAGGATGTTCACTGCCTTGATGCGACCCGCGTTGTGCTGAAGACTGATTTCGGAAACTACACAACGGCCGACGGCGACTACATCCACGCCAACTGGATCTCCTATGATTGTAACTTTTATTTCTCAGTGCAGATTGGCGTTTTCCAGACATGGAGCGCAAATTCATCGCTACCCAGGGCCCGAAAGATAACACCATCGAAGACTTCTGGCGTATGGTCTTTCAGGTACATTTCTTGCGGTATTTTCCTACAGCATCTCGGCTCGGCGTTGCGCTACAGTGTTGTAGGGCATACCAAAAGACTCGTCAGGCATAGCCGAACATTTTGGTTCGTTTGCACACCTGTAGGAGGCCAATGGGGAGCCGAGATACGAAAGCTGGGGGTTGGCTGTGGGGAGTATTATTATCTTACTTTTTTAGCTTCCGCCATTGTTTTTCTTTTTCGTAACAAACAAAACCACGCCCTCCATTTGAGCTTCAATTTTCAAATTTCATTTCCAGGAAAACGCGGTGGCCATCATCTCGGTATGGGACTGTCAAAGACGCCGAACCAAATTCGCCGAATATTTCCCGTCGAAGGCGGGCGACTGAAGAACTACGGCAAGATGTTCGTCAACAACAAGAAGGTCGACGACATCGTGCACACGCTGGAAATGTTGCCCGACGGCTGCTCGAATTCCATCATCACCAAGCTGATCTTCTGCCCCGATCGGCGCGACAGGGGGAATGCCATCGAAGGGCGGTATCCCGCTAAAGCTGCGCCGCCTCACCATGGTGATTTTTTACATGCTATAAATGAAGAATCAGTGATTTGATTTAGAAAACAGTGAAAACAAAACGGTGTTTTTTAGGTGTGTGTCTTTTTCGATGTGACAGCCAATTCGATAGACTGAATGTCCTAACGAATCCCACCTTTCAAAAACTGCTTTTCGGCTACGGCCTCCCAGAGAACCTTTCTCAGCGTTTATATTTTGTTTAGCGCGGGAATAAATGAACGGGATCGGCCCTTTCAGAGCGAATTTTTTCGAAGATGGTCAATCCGCAATTTTTGAAAGATGGGATTGTTCAGAATTGCAAGCTATGCCACATGGAAAAACTCAAAAAACACCTAATAGCAGCTCCTTTGAGTTGGCTGATTTACAAAATTGCAAAAATAACCTTCCAAAACTTTAATTCTATTCAGGAAGCCGGCACGGGAACTGTGGTGGTCCATTGCTCGGCGGGCGTCGGTCGCACCGGAACGTACATCGCCATCGAGATGGCCATCCAGAAGTTGTTGAAGGGCAAGGAGGTGTCGGTACGTCGCTTCTTTCTGACGCACAAACTTAGTTTGTTGTAGATTGTCGAAATCTTCAAGGATTTGCGCAACTGCCGGCCGTCTTGCGTCCAAAACACTGCCCAATACCTCTACATCTACAGCTCCGTCCTCGAATTTATTCTCGTGCGTTTTGCTATTCCAGCGTTTCTAACCTAATTTAGACGCGCAACATCACTCACAAGCCGACGGAAAGGAAGTCGACAAGCTGGCCGAGGTCATGCAGTAGCCGCCGTCTCGTCTCTACCAACCCCCGTCCATATTAAACTTCTTACCTATGTGTTCCATTGATTTTAAAGTTTATTCATGTCAATAAATGACCGGTTGATGTATTCGATTGTCGAAGCGTATCGAAGCTTTAGTTAAATCTGTGCGGTTTATCCTGATGAACAATCCCAAATGGCGGCTACTCATCGTTGACGTCGGGCGTTTGTGGCGAGCCGAGTGGACGGAGGCCCAGCGGTGCCCATTTCATTTCGAACCAGCAAATGGCGCATGGTTCTACAAAGGAGCACGTGGGCCAAAATCGGAGTAAGCTCACTCATCGTTGTACAGTACTTGCCATTGCAGACTTTTTTGCGATTATAGCTTTCGGAGGATTTCCTGAAAGCATTGCTTCTTTCTCCCAGCAAGCCACCAACCAATAGGCCGACGCGCAACGTTCGCAAAGCAACGGGCCGTGCTTGCTGGTGACTCGCTGGACACCATTTTCCGGGCAACTCGAGCATCGGCCGTCCTGTAGTATGTTATATTTTATTTATAATATTATTAGGATTACGATCTGGGTCGGCGGCCGGCCCTTGACGCGCTGTGCGGTAGTCGACGTCGCCTAGAAAACTTTCTATGACTAATGTTCGCAAAAAGCAGAAATTTGGTCACTTCTGACAAGGGATGGTTGTTTGGCTTAGGTGTCAAAGCTTTCTGAAATTTGCCAGTTGATGAAGAATTGCGAATGGATCTTGTAACCTCAAACGCCTACAACTGTTTAATTTAGGGCATTCGGCAGAAAATGATATTAAACTCCACGTTGTTTTTGATTTTCTATCGACTGGCAAAGTTTCAAGGCGATCGGCCATCTGACCCAAACGACCTTCCCTTGCGAGGGTTAATTTGTGAAATCCGGCAGTCGGACCAGCCAGCTGTGATGGTCTGGTTTTTGCTTGGTTTCATCTATTTCCATCTGATAATATGCTTCGTGTTTATTTTCGGAAGGGATAACCGCATTCAAGCCATTTATTAGTAGGTGCAATGGGTCCCCTAGACGATGTCGTTCAAGATGCGCTCGACCATGTATTTGCCAGCCACGCGGAAAATCGACGAGTCCTCAGCCAACGGCTCCCGCTTGACTTCGAAATCGTTCAGGGCCTGTAAAAACCGACAAGGTTTGCAAGCTGCGATTATTGGCCAGGGTGGCATATACTCTATGGACCCCAACGGGGTGCTGTGAATTATAATATTACCTTGAGGAAGTCACAGGTGTACGAGTAGTGGGTCGATGATTCGGACGAGGTGACTGACGGCGGTGGGGCAGAGGCCGGGTTGACCGTCCTCGGGGCCGAGCTGCGATCGGAACCAACCTGCACGATGTAAATGGGAAGCTACGCTGAAATAAAGAGGGAAATTACCAAGGACGTAGCGCGGGTAGATGATGTTGTAGCAGAAGACGGTAGCTCGCCGATGATGAGCAATATCGGAGACTGAAATGGCTTGCGATGTTTGGAAATGAGGGTGGATACTGCACGGTTAGCAGGGGTCAACCAAATTTTCCCGAGTAGCCCTGGACGGCCCATTTTGCACAGTTTTCCTCTATAAAAAGCTCATAAAAATTATCGAAGATTTAAATAACTTTTCAGGAATCAAAACGACCGAAAAAATTCTTTCGATTCTACACGTTTAACCGGCGGGAGAACAAAAATCTGTGCTTCCAGGTTAACGGGGGGCGGTTACCAACTTTTCCTTGTAACTGGGTGCGGAGCCGAGTGAAAAATTGTCGTTTTTTAATTGTGTTTTGCAAAGTTTGTGGTAGCCAATAACATTATGAAAACATTTATCCTACAGTCAAAAAATCTAGGGTTTTAGCCTGTTTTTAACCATTTTCATACACGTTAGGCCGAAAAAGCAAACATTTTAAACATGTACCAGGGTTGAAAAGCCGCTTCGCGACTTTTCAACCCTGGCCCCGTCTCGGACCCCATACTATTCTGCCCTTTGCGTAATTGTCCTTCATCCAGAAGGCCAAAAAAATGAAAACCAACCCCTTCTGCCTCTTTATATCGGCGAAGGCCCACTTCCTGTCTATGCTAATTATTCCTAACAAAGAGGTTTTTACAAAAACCTAACATTAATAGCGAAAGTAGCTAATTTTTAAAAATCTGATATGTGTGCAGTCATCCCTAGACCATTACGCACCTAATGACGTATCATACGTAGCCTAATATCCCTCCGTTCTTGAGATATCCTCCGGACAGACAGAAGGAAGTGGATGCAAAGTGGCACACACACACAAACACACACACAGACACTATTTTTTTATATATAGTAGGATGATGCTTGCTTAATTTCTCCTCACACGTTAACAGTCCAGAACCACCTGAAACGGCGTAAACGGGCATAAAAACGGTAAACTTTTAATTTGTGGATCCGCACGAGATTATAGAGAAAAGTTCGCAACCGGCTCCCCGCTGACCTGGCAGCACCCAAAAATTTGTGCTACCCCGCGCAAAAAAATCGCTAAGGCTAAGGCCATGTTCGCCAAAGCTTAGAACGCTGAATACTGTAAAATACCTCGACGATACGACCCGACGGCTGGCCGGGTGGGATGGTAGTCAACGACTCGTCGGATGAGCTCGACGTTTCGCTGCTGCGCTGTGACGGCGTCTAAAATGAGCTGTGTTTTTTAAAAAACAACGCCCTGCTAGGCGAAAAAACATTATTACTTGCCTGAATGGGCAAAGTCGAGGCTGGCTGGGCGGTGGGTAGCTGCTCAGTCCCGGGCTCGCGCCACAAAATCGGGGGCGGCATCTAAATCGAGCGTGAAATCCTCGCAATTGTCCCTCGTTTAACCAATTAAACGCACATCTTTAGCATTTGCTCGCAAGATACTTTACTCAACTAGATGAATGGCGCATTTTAGCAATGCCCGAGGGTAAAAACTACTGCTACTCCTAAGCTAATAAGTATTTCTTTAGGAGCGGTCCCCCTTTTACCTAGTAATCAAATATCGTCTTTTTACATTGTTTTAGTAAGTTTTAACTATCGAACTAACTAGTCGAAACTTAAAAAAAAATGTTAGCACAATGTTAGAAAAAGTCCAAAAATTTGGCCATTTTGGGTAGAAAAATCAATTTTTCGACCTAAACTTAAATTCGCTAATTAAAATTTGTATAATTTTTATGCTTATGAATACTTAAAAACAACTTAGAAACGCATCCGCTATTTAAAAAACAATTTAGACTTGGGTCCAAAAAACAGAATTTGGTCCCGCCCCGCGAATCCTAAAGAACCCTAAAAGTTATTAAAAACGATATATAACCCTAACGCTTCATCTTCCAATACTAGGCAAACTTCGTTCACTAGGAAAAATTCGACCCCCTCCGGCCAATCCTAAAGAACCCTAAAAGTTATTAAAAACGATATATAACCCTAACGCTTCATCTTCCAATACTAGGCAAACTTCGTTCACTAGGAAAAATTCGACCCCCCCTCCGGCCAATCCTAAAGAACCCTAAAAGTTATTAAAAACGATATATAACCCTAACGCTTCATCTTCCAATACTAGGCAAACTTCGTTCACTAGGAAAAATTCGACCCCCCTCCGGCCAATCCTAAAGAACCCTAAAAGTTATTAAAAACGATATATAACCCTAACGCTTCATCTTCCAATACTAGGCAAACTTCGTTCACTAGGAAAAATTCGACCCCCCTCCGGCCAATCCTAAAGAACCCTAAAAGTTATTAAAAACGATATATAACCCTAACGCTTCATCTTCCAATACTAGGCAAACTTCGTTCACTAGGAAAAATTCGACCCCCCCTCCGGCCAATCCTGAAGAACCGCTCACGATTTCTTTTCTCACCTGTAGCCCCATTGCATAGGTGTTGTCCACAATTCCGTCCGCCTTGAGCACTCGTTGGCGCTTGATGTTCAGCAGGTCATCCGAAGCGGTCGAGGCCGCTCGCACACGGCGCGCCTAAAAAAGGCCCGTACTTGGTTCCCGCAAACAGTGGAGGAGATGCGCCCAAATCTAACCGCGTCGGCAAATTTGGCGGCGGCGGCAGCCGAAGCAGCGGCCGCGGCTGCCGTCTCCGCCATCATCGCTGGCTCGCCGTTCTTCTGCCATTCGTCCAGCCACTAAACAAATCCTTCTCTTATTAGATAAAAAATAAACGTGGGTAACAACTTTTTTTCTTAGGATCTAATTTTGCAAATATAAATTGTGGTACTGATTCCAAATAGTTTTTACTATTCCTAAGCGTGAAAACTTTACAAATTGTTATTACAGAACATCAAGAATATAACTTTCGGCCAAAATTTCGATGTTTTCGATATTTTTCAAAGTTTTTAGATAGTTTTTATAGTTTAAAGATAGTTATATATTACTAAAAACGCTATGAAAACACTTTCTATTAATTTCTATTACTTGTAGACTTAACTACTCCCCCACCGGAGATGCGAAAGAACGGGAACGTGCCTGGCACAGCTCGAAAATCGTGAGCCGTTCAGCCAATTCCGAGGCCTCGACATGAGCAGCGTGTTGAAGTGAGTCGAATCGCGGGTCGGTGCGCACTGGCAAGTCGAGCGGCTCAAGTTTCACGGGCTGTAAAAGAATTGGACGACCCTTGATCCCTCTGGAAGACGGACGAACATGCGAATTCACGTGGAGCTGTGCACCATCAAGTCGGCCCGTCGCGAAAAATTGCGCGGCTTGTGCGGCCCTCCAGCGCCTACAAAGCGCGACATCCTCGAAATGTTGCGCTTCGAAGATGTAAAGCTCGACGCACATCGCCGTCATCCTCTGAAAACGGGTGGAAAATTAAATTTAGTTTGAATGGCTAAGGGCAAAAAAATGGCTAGGGTCTAGGAAACCCCGAAATTTTTTAGCCATACGTCCTATCTAAAAATCTTCGTCGTGGACGAATTGCTAGAAAAAAAGTTGTTTCCTTACGTCAAAAATTGTTATAAATTTTTTTTATACCAATTAAAAGTTTCCTTTAATTAATTTTTCCTGGTCCAAAGTGAGTTTTCGCATTCCAGTGCCCCCTAGACCTACGAAACCTCGACATGAGACCTGTCGATGCTACGAAAATATAGCTATTGCGCTGTAGCATATGGCTACATTACCTTTAAATCGGAAAAATAGCGAAAAGAAAATATTTGAGGCAGTTTGAAATCTTAGTACATTGAGGCATGATGACTTAATCTTTTCACATTTTAAAGTCTTGTAAAAAATTGTTCTAGCAATTTTTGGCCTCAGGAAACAACTTTTTTTCGATTGATTCAACCACGGCAAACATTTTGATATACTCCACGCATTAATGGGGCGTATGGCTGAAAAGTTGCGGCGGGTTCTTTCCTAGACACTTGCCAAAAAAAATGAGCCGAACAACCGTGAGTATTTCCAAACACCTCACCTGCTTGTCCATACCGTCGATCAGCTCACATTCGACCCGTCGTTTTTGCGCCAATTCCGTCGTTGCCCTTGCCATATCATCCAGTAAAGAGTTTTTATCCTAGGACGCGTGGTTGAGGAGGAAACAAGAATCTTTCTTTTTTCAAAAAAAAAAGAACGTCAAGCTTGCCGCTTACCATCAGAGAGTTTATACTTACTTATACAGTTTATGCTTATTTATACAGTTTATAATTACTTATACTGTATAAACTTACCATTTTAACCAAACGAGAAAATCTAAAAAGAGAGTAGGAAATCAAAGTTAACGCATAAATCTGCGCTTTTGAACTGATGGTACCATGCAAAGCGTGGATGCTTCCTGATGGGCCCAAATTATGCTAATATACAAATCTTCGGGTCGATGCTAGCCTAGATCCTCACCGAAGGAACTCTGCCGGCTTCTTCACAACCAATACCAAATCGCGCCGCGGCTTTTTAGAGCAAGAGTCTGCTTTTGAACCTGAACTTCTTTCAACTCTCCTCGTTCCACAACCTCGCAAACTAAAAATCAAATCTAGGAGTAGAATCCTTAAAATTACACAGTGGCAAGTACAATTTATTTACAGGTGCAAAAAAGGCAATATCATATCACAGCTGAGCAAAACGGAAATGTTGAAGTGTTCCAGTCTGGCAACGTCTCAACCGTCGCCCATCTCGGCCCGTCGTCTCGCCTCCATCTCCATATTGGCGCGCTCGTTGCTAAATACAAAATTAAGCGACGAAAAAAGTAAAAACTAGGACCAAGCCTGCAGTTTAAGATACGGCTTTTAGCATTTGGTTTTGTAGAAGAAGAAGTTTAGAAGTTATAAAAGATACAAACTTGCATTCCTTTAAAATAGTGCCAACCTGAAATTGATGCCGGCCATCTCGAGCAGCGTCTTGTCCGGGTTGTCGTCCCAATTGCCCGGTAACGGTACCTGAAAAATCGTTGAAAAATTCTGAATAACAGGTAACCTTTTTATTCCTCTCGGCCTGTCGATTCTGCCAATCGCGCAGTCCGCGCTGCTCGTTCAGCGTGCTAGCGCCGCCACAGCCCCACACCTGAAAAATAACATTGTTTAAAGTGATATGAAATTGCTAGATTCTCGACGAGAAATCCCGACAATCGCCAACAGCTTTTCTACCATTTCAACGCCCTGCCTTCGAATGAAAGCGCTCGGTACTGGGCTGTTAGCGGAGGAGGGAAGGGGTCTAGCAGTAGGAAAACTAATATATAATGTAAATTTATAATATTTCAGTGATTTTGAGTCCTAGAAAGTCATAAAAAGTATTTAAAAAACGTTGAATATTGTCCTTTCCGGCCAAAAATCAGAACTTTTCACAACTTGAATCTCTAAAACTGTTGAAAATGCTTTTTATTATAGGGCCGCACGGGATTACAGGCAAAGATTGGCAAAAAGCCCCCCCCCCCCCCCCGCTAATGGCCAAGTACCAAGCGCTCTTTCAGGCACGCAGTACGTGGGCGCCTATTTACGGTTGGTTTTCTCTGTATGGCGCTCTATCTCCCTCTCTCTTTCACGCACTCCTCACACACACTCTCTCTATCTCTCTTTCACACTCCTTTCTCTGCCTCACATTCGCTGGGGAAATAGGCGCCCGTTTAAAAACCGCCTGAATATAAGCATTTTAATCGGAAACCAGGGCGTCGATATTGTAGACCTGGTCGAGTCGTCGTCTACGGCTTGAACGCGCTCACCTCGATCGCCACCACCTCGTCCAAGTCCTTGTCAATCTTCATGACTTCCTTGAACGACAGCCCCATCGACGCCGAGCGAATCTAAAAACTAGCCGAATGCTGAAAACGCCGAAAAATCGTACCTTGAAATTCGAATAGATCGAATTGGTGCCATCTAATCTGAGCAGCGATGGCTCGAGCTCAAAATACATCGTGTCGTTGCCACCGTAGCGTGTCGAGCCGTTTCTGAAAAAGAAAGTACAAAAACAGTTTTCCCAAAAAAATTCTAGACGGTCGCAGACGGGTCCGATGTTTACGATTTAGGTATCTATCGAAAGCGCTCGGCAAGGCGAGTCCAGCACGTCTCTCCGATTTCAAACTTTATAATTTGTCTAACATTTACTAGTTTTTTTTGCGAAAAAGACGAATTTTCTGGTGTTTTTCTGACCAAGGGAGGTTTAGAAAAATTAAAATTTAAGGATTTTTACACCTTTCCTGGCGGCCCAACTACAGCTTTTTGAAAGCCGTTCGCGAAAACACGGCTTAGCGCTAAAACCGGTTAAATTGGGTTTTTTGACAAAACCACGTGTCCTTTTTGCATGAAAAATGCCGAGCGAGCAAAAGAAATTGCGAAATTTTTAAAATCGGAGAGTGGCGCTGGGCACGCCGTTTGAAGAGCTTTCGATAGATAGCTAAATCGTATAAATCGGACACGTCTGCGGCCGGCTAGAGGGGAGCGGAGTGATTTTTTTGGGGGGAAACTGTAATAAACTTTTTGGTTATGAAGTATTCGGGCGCGGGATCGACTTTGTTCCCATGGGTTCTAGTCATATCTAGTGATTTTCTAGGCTTTTTAGTAAGTTTAACTGCATGTGATGCAGAAAAACTTGGAAAATCGAAATTTGGGGTGTCCGATTTCTGCGATTTAGATATCTATCGAAAGCTCTCGAAAAGTCGCGTCAAGCATGCCTAACATACATAGTGCTCTTCCAGGGTTTTAAGCCAGTTTAAGTAAGTTTTAAGCAAAAAAATTGAAAAAAAATCGAAATTTTGGTCATTTTTATCGAAAAAAAATCAATATTCCGGCCTAATTTAGATTTTTCATAATTAAAATTTGTAAAGTTATATGCCCAAAACGTTTAGAAACAGTGTAAAAAGCCGTTCGCTGTTTGGATAGTCTAGGCTCATGCCGAAGAGTTTCTCTTTTTCTGAAATCACACCTGAACGTTGTATCAGACGCCAACGCCACCGTTCGCTTGTCCTTCAGCTTGATGACCGTCACGGTATGGCCTGAAAAATCACGATTAAAAGTAGATAAACAGCCATTAAATACCTTTATATTCAAAGACGTTATTCTCGAATCGATTGACGCTGATGCCCTGCATGGCACTTGTATAGATCGGAACCCACTCGGCCAATTCGCCCGTTTTCTGGAACAAAATAAAATATATAGTTTTAAAGAATGCGTACGGGATCTTTGACAAAATAGGAGGGTGGGAGGGCACTTTGAAGGTAGAGGAATTGAAGCTGCGAGAGGACGTCCGAGTTGAGTTGCACATTTGTCTGTAAAAGCGGTATTTCTAGAGAATTTTATGGTCACTGGTCGGAAAAAAGCCTTTCTAAAAAACAGGGTACCGGACTCTTAGCGGGGGAGCATTTCACCGAGAAGAGAACCAATTTTTTTCTGTACGACCCTCTTCCACAAAATGTAAACAATTTTTATAAAACTTAAACACCCCTCCAACATCTGAAAATGTCGGATTTTGATCAAAAATGTATGAAAAATGGCTCAAAAAACGTCATAGTTTCGAATTTTCAAAGCGTTGTAATTATTTTTTATGAATTCTAGCTATCCAAAACTAGCAAAAGATTATAAAATAAATATTATGTGATCAGCAGGTAAAAAACCAGCTAACCCACCTAAAATTTAATTTTCATCCCCCGCTAACAGTCCAGTACCAAAAAATGTGCAAACGGACCACTGGATATCCGTTGAGCTTGTTCAGCACCACAGATTGCAATTGATGACAAAACCGTGCGCATTCGCTGTTCTTCCACTCGACGATCGACTCCCAGTTGTCGCCGTGGGCCGTCTTAAACGACAATGTTATAAAACACCGAAAATCAACGCTAAACTCAGGCTTTGAAAGGAAAAAAAACAAGTTTATATAGCTACGAAAAGATGACTTGTAAATTGAAAAAGCTACGACGATAGTCCAAGCCTAATAAAGCCCTAAAACATCTATCTACCGATGCCCTACCTAGCCTTCGAATCACCCAACAAAACCTCAAATTTTTTGGAAGGTCGACGTTGAAAGTTCTATGCAAAAGCTTTCCAGATTTGTTTTTTCATTGATAATTTGTATGGCTTGTTTTGACCGCATTCTGGGAAATCATGGTCCTTTTCTGCAAATATTTGAAACAAATATAAACGCACCATCTTCTTGACCAGACTCTGAATGAAGCCGACATCCACATCGTACGCCACCCCACCGGCCGCCTCCAGGCACACTTTGATGAAATGGTGCACTGGCTAAAGAATGTTATAAAAAGGGCTAAAAATCTCACCTGACAAATCTTGACGTAGATATCAGTTGATGTCCCCATAAGTGGTGTAATTTTTGAGGCAGCAGCTTCTGGGGTCACGCCATCGCCTTGTCCTTCCGAGAGATATTTCCATAGCGAGTAGGCGAGTTCTGCCGAGAAGAGGTTCTGAAAATGGAGGCGTAAGTTAGCTGAATTACAAAACGCCCATCTAACAAGCAAGCATTTTGTTAGTGAAAATCGAGTTTCCCTACGGGACCAAGCCTACATTGTGCAGAATTTTGCGCTGATGTCGAAACTGGTTTCAAAAGCGGCGAAACGATCGGATTCCAAAAGTTAATATGAACTTTTTCAGGGCAAAATTGGGCCATTTTGGACTTTTCTCGTACTGAAAACCTTCATAACTTCGTGAATATGAGCTTTTCGCAAATGCTGCAACCAGTTTCCGAACAAGTGCAAAATTCTGCACCAGATGGGCTTGATCTCGTACGGAAACCGTATTTCACCGAAAAAACGTCTCCTTGAACTAGAAGCCGTTTTCATAACTAATTTTCTCCTCGAAACAGCTCAGAAGCTCAGAAATTATATTCTATTCACTATTTCTTTGTCGGTATTAGATTCGCTATGTAAGAAATACTCGAAAAAAGCAATTTCCTTTGCAAAATGCCCTTTCTGCACGTCCCGACGAAGAAAAACGCGAATGGCACTGATACACCTACGCAAAAACGATCTAGGTCTTCTAGAAAACAGCATTTTAAGGATCCGACGAACCTGCAGTGATGCCGCTGTTATTTTGCCGCTCGAGTCGGCGAGTTTCTTGGCGGCTTCCGTGGAGCGCGAGTCGATCCTTGGGGATTCCGACGGGGAGGCCGATTGTCCATGCGTTTTCTTCACTTTGTGGCTTTGCTCATTGCCCATTTTCCGCTGAAAAAGATGATGATGACCTTTTGAATTCAAGGCAATAGATTAGAAACGAGAAAACGCATCAGAAACGTTGAAAATCGATTAAAATACAATCCCGGACGTCGTTCGCCGGGCTTCAAAGATTTTCCTAGGGCAAAACTGTATCGCAAAAGTGATTTGCAATCTAGGAAAGGAAAAACATGGAGAAAATTGATCAGGGAAAGTTACGGCCGCCGAACTCGAGGTTTCAAATAATGTTTGGGAAAATTTACTTTTATGGTCCTCGTCCGAAAAGTGGTTTTTCGTGTCGGAATCGATTCAGAATTGTTCGAAATGTGGTTTACAGTTGAAAAAAAGGGTCGGAAAGATGTTTTTGCTAGGAAATATGCACTTTTTTATGAAAATTTGAGGACCATAAAATGGGGTACGGGGGTTTGAAGTTTATGGTCCTCGGCTGAAAAGCAATTTTTCTTGTCGGAAACTATCCAGAAATGTTTAAAATATCGTTTGTAGCTCAAAAAAATGGTCGGAAAGAAATTTTTTTGGGAGAAAATAATTTTTTTCACGAAAATTTGAGGACCATAAAAGGGGGTACGGGGGACTGAAGTTTATGGTCCTCACCTGAAAAGTGTTTTTTCTTTCACCATTTCAATAGATTAATGTTGGTAATGCATAGTACATCGAAAAAAGTGCCGGAAAGATGTTCTTGGTCCCATAATACTTAGGAACAGGGTGTGGTCCGTAGCATTGTCAGGCAAGGCAGGCCGTCGCTTCGGATGGGCTGCCGCTCCACTCTTTCGAAATCAGGGCGCCTGGGCGCTGCGCGCTGCTCGGGCGCCCCGATTTCGAAACACTGTACGAGCTCGCACCCATCCGAAGCGACTAGGCCCCGGGTGGCACGAAGCCTTATTTTTAGGCTAAAATTGGGTTGAATGAATTTTTGTAACAAAGCATTTGTTGAAGCTAATAAGGGTCTTTCCGACGATTTTTTTGAACTGCAAACGATAGTTTGAACATTTCTGGATATTTTCCGACAAGAAAAATTGCTTTTCAGCCGAGGACCATAAACTTCAGTCCCCCGTACCCCATTTTATGGTCCTCAAATTTTCATAAAAAAAGTGCATATTTCCTAGTAAAACATCTTTCCGACCCTTTTTTTCGACTGTAAACCACATTTCGAACAATTCTGAATAGATTCCGACACGAAAAACCACTTTTCGGACGGGGACCATAAAAGTAAATCAAGCCTAATGTTTGGCAGCGTTTGAGGTCTATTCCACGTCTGGATGAGATTCGAAGGGTAAGAATTATTGAAAAAGGTCATTTTGGAACAAGAAAAAACCGCTAAATTCCTACAACGATAGGGAATCTTTCAAAGTTGTAAGGAGGATCTTTTCAAAGCAACATTTGTTCCATCCAAATATAAAGCGTTCTTACATTGTTTTTAGTGAGTTTTCACTCCATTTAAAACAGAAAAACTTTCAAAAAGTTAGGAAAGTCTTTGAAAAAGTCGAAAATATAGTCATTTTGCGTCGAAAAACTCGATTTTCGACCTGAAATAGCAATTTAATTAAAATTTGTAACGTTTTGATGCTGAGGAATAATTAAAACATAGTAAAAATGAATGCGCCATTTACAAAAACCACAGCTGTGACGAGAAAAGATGGTTCGCCCCCATTTCCCAAAGCAGTAAATGCCACCCCAGAATTCCCGGCAATCTTTTTAGCAAAGACATAAAGGCGGGCGAGTTTATCGGAAAACAGAAGGGTTCGCTAGCACTTCATAGTCTCACTCTCGTGCCTGCGCTTCCTGACTGGACATGCTCCTTCCATCAGTCTCGCGTCTGCGCCTCTTCTGTTTCGCCATTCTCTCGCCCACACCCCCCTCGCTTCAACAAACAAAACGAGGACCAAAGACCCGTGCGTAGAATCGGGAGGTCTTGCTCAAAGAGTGGCGCAAAAGCATAAACACACGCTCAATCGCTAACTGATCGTTCGGTGAAAAGTGCAAAAGAGTAGACAAGCGAAATTCGGTACGCGAGTCGTACTTTTTGGCCTGTGAAGCGTAAAAATAGAACTTTTTGAACGGTAAAATAGCTATAAAGATACGTGGCGTAGAAAATTTAGCTTTAAAGGTATGGATGTTAAATTTAAAAGAGGATCCAGTTTTTGATATAATAGATATTTATTTATTTACTATACCTAAACTTAGAGACTTTACAAATTTTATTAAAACATGTAAAAATATAGATTTTTCGAACAAAAATGACCGATTTTTGACCAAAATCTCAAAAACAATGTATTCCACGCTTTTTTATTGTCTTTCTAGTCGAAATATTGCAACTTTTTGCTAAAAACACCATTAGAACACCTATTATTTTGTTGTTAGGCATTTTTTATAGAAAGATGTTGCCCCCCGATAACGCGAAAGAACCACAAAAAAATTAAACTCTATCACGTAGCTAGAATTTTCGGACTTCTAGGAAAAACTAGCCCCTCCCCCCGATAATGCCAAAGAGCCAAATTTTGTATTGCAGCAAGTTAAAACAAATGTTACATTCCATGTGATTTCTTTGCTCTTATTTTTAGGCTTGCAATCTCCCGAACGGTAGCGATCGATCGGGGCCATTCTGTTGCACAAGAAATCGGCTGGTTATAGGCGGGCTAGCGGACTCGCTATAGATTTGTGTTATCATTCCTAAATTTTTCTCAGGCAAACAATTCAAAGGCTTGAATTTCGATAAATTTTCACAAAATTCGTAGTGGGCTTCAACTTTTTTAAACGTATTTCTTCTTTAGAGCTTTCGCAATATCGGGGGCTCTAACTTTTCCATCTAGGTCCAGCAATACCTAGTAATGTAATATTGCGTTTATTAAAAGGTTTTTTAGCAAAATTCAACTATGTTTTAAGAGAAAAAACGCGAAAAACTGTTTAAAAAGAATTTTCGGTGAAAATCGGCCATTTTTGGTCAAAAATCGATTTTTTTTTTGTGTATTTTTTAATCAAAATTTATAGTTTTTAATCTGCGAACAGCCAAAAACAGTTTCGAAAATTCGCGATTTAGATTCGGAAAGTAATTTTGTATGATTATTATTACCTCTATTTTAATATCATTACCTCTATTTTACTCTTCTTAGATATCTGGGGAAATCGAGCAATTTTTTCCAGGACATGGTCGGCCAACTTCTTCAAATAATAGACTTCATCAAGGATGCGGATAAGGATCGAATTCACCCACGCCTCATCGAAACGGCACTGCTCGAGATTCAAGAGAAAATTAGGGGCAAAAAGGTCGGCCTTTTGCCTAATAAATTTATACTAATAAATTAATAAAATACATATAAATATAAATATATAAATTAATTAATAAATAATAAATAAGTTGGCTTTTAGGTCGTGATCGTGAGCATTGCCGGCCTCTTACGAGGCGGCAAAAGCTGCCTGCTCGAGCTGCTGCGCCTCGAGCTGACCAACCCGGGGGCGTTGCGGGACCCGAAGACCGTCATCGGGTAAGTTATGCTATTTAGAATGTCACTATACTAATTAATCCCAGCGGAAAAGACTAGTACACACACTTTTTAAATTTCTAAGCTTACTCATAGACTACGCCTGAGCTTACTGTAAAGTGTTTTTACTCAGGCTGGCGTTTTAGGATGGGACCAAGCTTATTTTGCTCAGAATTTTTTGCTGATTCAGAACGCGTTTTTCCAAATTTGCTGCGGACTTAGTTCAAGAGTCATTTGGGGCCTAAATTAAGCTTAAAAACGGCATAAATTCGGATGCTGGCCCACTATTCCCTGCCTGGGCCCAGGCATCGTTGTGCCCCTTATCTACCCTCCCGAAGTCCCATTACCAGTTGGCACCATGGTGCATTGGTAAGCTGTTCGCTTGCCAAGCACAGGGCACGGTTCAAACCCCGCCCGGCACACTTTCTTTTGCTTTTTGCACAAAAACCTTATTTTTTTTTTGCATAAAATCGTGCTTTGACCTCTAAAACAGTTACTGAGCCAGTTTTAACGTCGGAGGTGACGACAACTTAAAAAATAACGCAAAAATCCAGATTTAGTCAATTTTTTTAGTATAAATCCGATTAACTTTTAAATAGGGTCGGCAGCAAATTTGGAAACCAGATTCTGAATCAGCAAAAAATTCTGAGCAAAATAAGCTTGGTCCCATCCCAAAACGCCAGTCTGAGTGAAAACACTTTACAGTTAGCTTCATTGAGGAGCAAGTCTAAGCTACGTTTGAGCTCTTTTTTCGATTTTCGCTCTTAGATTTTCCATATCGGGGTTTCAAAAGGTGCGCAATCGTCCGTAGAACATTTTCATAGATTTTGTTTTTCGATTTTTTTATGAAACTTTCGAGATATTTCTAGCCAAATTTGGGGATTTTTCGCTTCGAGAGTACAAATTACACCGCCCGTGGACAGTTGAGCGTGCATAGGCGCGTCCGTTTCGAACGTTCCTAACCGTCAAAAGCCCTTTTTCAGACACAACGATGGTATCCCGTTCAAAATGGACGAAGCCCGACACACCCAGGGCATTCTGATGTGGAATGAGTTGATTCCGGTTGAGACAGATGCGGGGACGGTTGGTCGTTTTCAATCGCTAATAGGATCTTTTGTAGTATCACGTACTGCTCGTCGACTCGCAGGGAACATTCGACTTTGAGAGCGATACAAAAGTCTCCGCCTTCATATCGACGATCCTTCATCTCCTCTCCTCGATAATGGTTGGGTTTTCGCGTAGCTAAACCTTTTTTGCAGCTGATCAATGCCTGCGGCTTCAGCGCGGCCGACCTGGACCATCTCACGCAAATGCAGCTGTTCTCCGAGGCGGTGAAGAGGGATGCCGGGGAGTGTGAGAAAAGCCAACGACCGGTAGGTAGTTGCAGAATTTACCGCATTTTAAAACCTGGGCAAATGCTTACCATACCCCAGCGGACCCTCCCGAAATGGCGATATTTGCGCTATTTTTCGGGTTTTTTTTTGACGCTATTTTATCGGGAATCGAAAAAATATGCTACGAGTTTCGAAGTAATATAAAATCGAAACGTTAAACATAAATAAAGGTTCTTTCGCATTATCGGGGGGAAGCAAACTTTTAATAATCTAAAATACCTACTAACTTAATAAGAAGTATTTTCATCGCGTTTTTAGTAGAAAAAAACTATATATTGACTAGACAAGCTATCGCACAACTTTGAAAACCGTTTCAAAAACTCGAAATTTTCCCCAAAACGGCCATTTTTGGTCAAAAAAATTCGGTATTTTCTGAATTTTTTTTGCAAAATTTGTAAAGTTTATACGTTTAATTTTCTATGTTCTAGTTTTTACGTCTACACAAACTAAAGTGATAATAAATGGTTAAGGCAAAAACAAGCAAATCCGGAAAACCTGCTAAATACTACTTTTTTGTGAATTTTAATTCTATTTAGTATTTTCCGCTTATTTTTAATTTTCTGCCGGGACCTATGTAGATTCATACTGAATTGGAATCATCGCTTTTCAGGCAATCTTCTTCACATTCCGCGATCGAAAGGTTTCCAAGAATTCTGTCGAAAATCTGCAGCCCGGCCGCTACGGCAGCGATCCAGATTATTTCAAGCGGATGAGGATGAACCCCGCTAACGAAAAAAAGATTGATGAAGTCCGAGAGGCTGCCAGAAACATGCAGGTATGCCATTGACCCGCGCATTTACGAACTTACTAAAATTTAAGACCTTTGTCTTCCCGACTCCAGACAAAAAATTGACGGATGCTTCAACGGGTGATGTTATTACGATTGGCAATCCGGTAAAACTTTTAGTAGTGTTTTCAGAAAAATCTAACCATTTTCAAACTAGTACAACTATCTACAAATTCAAAAAAATAAAATTTTCGTCAAAAATCGGCGTTTTTCGTCGAAAAATCTTTAGTTTGGACAGTTTTCAGGTTTCTAAAAAAAACGCTTAGAAATACTGCTAGTATTTTAATTTGTAAACCAGGGTTGAAAAGCCGCTTCGCGACTTTTCAACCCTGGCCCCGTCTTACCCCCATGCTTCACCACTATGCATAAACACCTGCATTCCTGTGCAGAAAAATGAAAAGCGCGTCCTCTCCCCCATTATATAGGCTTCCCCCACTTCCGATCCATGCAAATTGATTCATAACAAAGTGGTCAAGCGCGCTTTTCACAAAAACCTATTTTTAATGTCGAAAACAGCTGATTTTTAAAAATCTGATATGCGTGCAGTCGTGTCATGACCATTACGCACCTAATGACGTATCATCCGTGCCCTTAACTTCATCCTTTATTGAGATACGACTGGAACATACGGACGGAAGTTGCATGCAAATGCACACACACACACACACACACACACACACACACACACACACACACACACACACACACACACACACACACACACACACACACACACACACACAACACTATTTTTTTTATATATAGTAGGATTAGTTTCGAAGAAAAAAGTTGTTCTACCCCCCCCTCCCCCGATAATGCAAAAGGACCTAGTTTAACAGGTGAAGGCATCTTCCGGCACGCAAGCCAGGGCTCAGGACGGGGCCGAGAAGTCGCAGCCAGTTGAAGATAGAGTCGGTATGTCAAGAATAAAGAAAAATAACTGGATTAGGCTCTAAGCCAAAAGCCCTTGATTCAAAAGCAAAAGGTCTGATGAGAGTGATTCGAACCCACGCCCCCCGGAGTGGACTGGTGCCTTAAACCAGCGCCTTAGACCACTCGGCCATCTCACCACGGTGGCTAGGTGGGGGTAGGGCCGATATCAAAGGTGGGGCGGGGCACCACGGTTGACCGTGTGGCCAAAAACATCCATCCTATCCTACTATATATAAAAAAAATAGTGTCTGTATGTGTGTGTGCATTTGCATGCAACTTCCGTGAGGATGTTCCGCACCTACAGCCTCAGGGAAGAATTTTTTCGATTGGGCAGAGACGTCATTAGGTAAAGAAGGGTCCGGAATCGACTGCACGCACACAAAAACTTTGAAAACTTGCTATTTTAGCTATTAAAAACAAATTTTTTGTAAAATTCTCGCCCACCCTCTCTGTTAGGGATCAATTAGCATAAGCCGGAAGTGGGGGAAGCCTATATAAAGCGACATAGGAGGCTTTTTTCACTTTTTCCCTGATAGATTTCAGGGAAGAAACATAAAATTGAAGACTTTCATCGGTCCTAGACGGGGCCAGGGTTGAAAAGCCGCGAAGCGGTTTTTCAACCCTGGTTTGGTGGTTAAAAACAGCATTGCGCATATCTTGTTTTTTAAGATTTTTTTTTAGTATAACCGGAAAAACTATCTAAAACTTTGTAAAATTTTCAAAAAATCGAATTTTGGGCCAGTAAAAAGGCAGAAATAGTTTTGAGGAAAAGCCAGGTAACTTATACCTTAGGGGCAGATGAGAAAACAAGCTTAGCCGGCACTTCAGCTAAGAGGTATGGTGGGACGGTACATCTAAGAGCAAACAATGATAGAACCCGATGATACAGCATAAGAACCGTCCGCCTGTAACGGCAATTAAAAGTTCCCAGGAAGACATGAAGAAACTTTATGGCTGTCGTCGAGGAGCTCGATTCCGAGCGAAAGATCAAGGCGAGTCCGCAGCCAAAGCTGTATGTGATGGGTGGTCCGAACCCCAACCACGACGGCTCAAGGGAGACCATCCGCGGTAACAAAACAATAAAAACAAGAATATTCGTGCCATGGTGGTACCCTGGACGAGAGCTGAAAGATGAATCGGGCATCAACGACCAGTATCCAGGACGTGACGTCAAGGTGGAGAATTCTGAAAACCTGTCTACGTAGTCTAACATGCTTCCCATTAGATTTCCGGTAAAATTAGACGCTTTTAACGTGGCACTGACTGTTATAGTAGGGTGAAACCTAATTTTCCTATGCTGATCTGAATAATCTGCAAAACTCAACATCTTTTATAAAGACGCACAGTTTTATGTTATAGTCATCAAAACCTCGCAGGCTCAAATTCTGACTTTAAAAAAATTGGATGAAAATAACGCAGCCCTGGCCTCGCCTCAAAGACTTTAAAAAATAATTTATATATTTTGGCCAAAAAACAATATAGAGCGCCTATGGAATAGCTAGTTGAAGAGTGAGGTAATTGGAAAAAGCTAGTCTCTGCTGATATCCTGGTCGTACCTTTGTTCTCAGATTGACTGCGCAAACGGAGAGTAATTGTGTCACAAAGCCTGCCCTTCATCTATCGTGGTGTCCCAGCAAATGTCGTCTCTGAGTTCAGCCGCTCGCCTCCGTCTTGCCTTGTCCTAGAACGCAAAGGCTCATCTTTTCTGCTCGCCCGCAAAGCTCGGTATTTTAACAATAAACAAAAAGCATTGGTAATAGCTAACCTTTCTGACACTAAAACTTCCCACAAACTGTTGTACCACCTTGCCCCAGTGCCTGAGCCTTCTGAACCCGAGAATGAGTATCAGCATCTTGTCTCTCAAATTTTCTTCTTTCACCTTTCTGATCAGCCCTGAGCCAAAACCTGCAAAAAACAAACACAAAACAGGCTCTGATATGGACTAATAACCTGAGTCAGAAATAGGTCAATGCTCTCATGGTCCAAGAGAACTACTTAATACAAATTTTATCGAGCTGATTATTGATAACGAAAGTGGGAATGGGACTGAGTCAAAAATGGCTGGTTACGAGTGCGTTTCCTGGTTTTAAGAAAACTTTCAGCCTGAGCCCAGCAACGTCAAAAAGCAAGCATATCAAGAAACACTTTTGAGAGAAAACACAGAACTTAGTAATTTTTTTAGCAACAGTTTCAGCTGCTAGCCTTTTTGAGAAAGACTTTGTCTCATACTGTTACAGGCAAAAGGAGCTGTATTGATCCAGAACTGGCTGATTGGAGCAGAAGCTTTCATACTACTAAAATAAAACCAGTAGTTTAAGTTGAAATCAGCTGAAAACTTTGAGAATTTAAAACCCGATTTTCAAATGAAAACGCTGCTTAAGTGAAGTCGATATTTTAAAGTTACGGTGCCTGGGGAGATTTTACAGTTAGATGGGAAAAATGTGAGAAAAAACAGCCAAAGCTATCTATACGAAATATTAATCTTCAAAGAAAAACCCGCTGTTCAAATAGTCCTGAGCTTTTGGAGAAAGAAAAGTGTCGCTGGCAAGCCAAACAGAATGTAGAGCTGGAATAATGAATAACAAGCATGGCCTGGTCAGTGGCAGAAAAACAAGATAACAAAAAGCTGGCAACTAGCCTGTTTTGTTTCTGTTTTTGTTTTTGTTTCTGTAAAAGCTAAATGAACCCAGATGACTGTTTAGCTAGGAATCCAAGTAGAAAGATCGCAGCCGAAGATGCTGGTTCATCAGGCCGCCGCCGAGAGATTTACATAGACCAGAAAATTACAGATTGTGGTTACTGTATCTGTTCTAGGGAAACTGTTTCATACCTGCTGACCAAAATAGTGTCCAGCCTAAAAAACGTTGAAAATTGAAAACCGTCAGTGTCCCAGATCTTCGGCTCAATGAACTCATTTCCAAAGTCTGAATGTCGAGTAATATTATACAAGGCTCTGATAAGTTTTAAAAAATTTCAATGATAGTTTCAGTGAGGCCAATGAAAAACTGAAAACGTAATTTTAACGGAGATCGAATTAACAAAGGAGTTTTGACCAGTACCTGGGCCTTTACGTTACAGAGTTAAAACAGCTTCAAACAGCAGAATTGGTTTAAATAGCAGCTCTGAGTCCTAGTAGTGTCGCCCAGTTGCTTGGTCATCGCATTTCCAGCAACCCAGTGCTCAGGTCAGTTGAAAGAAATGGTCTTGAAAGCCAACTAAAACACTATAATTGAAGAGAAAGGGAACAAAAGTCTCGAAGCTGAGGGAAGAATCAGCAAGCAGAGAGGCCAAGATCAGCAGTCGGCGCTAAAAAAGAATTTGTGTTTCGTTTGCCATGAAACATGCTGAACAGCCGCAACGATCGCGAAAGAGTGAGGGAAGCTAAAGATCAGGTGAAAGCGCCTCGGAAATTAGAAAATAATTGCCAGAAATGAATGTCAAAATGTGCCCGCCTCTAGCTGGAAAGCGTTACTGATCTGCGGCGAGCAAGAGAACGATCACAAATGTGCAGCAAAGCGCCAGAATCGGCACTATGTTCGGGAAGGTTTTAACAGAATCTGCCGCGGTTACGGCAGGTTAGCCAGAAAAATACACGGTTATGGTTTGAATGATGACGGAAGCTTTGACAGTTACCGTTCTAATTTCAAACGCAAATCTTCTTCCAGCGTACCGGCCAAAGTCCGGGCACGAGATACAATGTTTTATTGTTGTATTAATTTAAAAATACATTTCAAAGCGAGAAATTTTAAAAATTTCTTGAGCGCCAAAAACTGCTATAAACTTTATAAAAATGTTTCATTTCACGATCGGGTCGTAATGCCCCCCCCCGCTAAAAGACCAGCACCGATTTCAGGAAAGCGTACACGATGAGAAGCTGCGCAGCTACGCCACCGACTACCAACGCGTCTTTTTCACGTGTTTGGAGGTAGGGCAAACGATAATGGATTAAAGAAAGCGAATACCTTTACAGAATGCCCAGAAGAAGGCGGCCAACATCTGCGAGCAGGACTTTGTCAACCAGAACCAGGTGGCTGCAACCGCTTGAACATATTGGTGACGATAGTATAAAAAGTACTTTAAATTCACTACCGTAAATCGCTGAACAAATCATAAAACGTAATAAATTTATCAATCCAACAAAAAGGCGACAAGTTCAACAAGTTCGGCGGCAATGCAAAACAAGCGAAAATGAAAACGTAGATCGGCACCGAGTTTTTATGTCCTAATAACGGGGGGTGGGGCGAGAAAGGAACCCGGGAAATGAGACACGTAAAGGGGGGAAAGTGCAAGGGTGGGGGATAGAACAATTTGTAGAAGTCCGACTTATCGACGTCGGTCTAATCGATGAATTCGACGTCATCCTCCGACGTCAGGTCGACCACCTCGGCCTTGATGAAGCCGGCACGGCGGGCGCTCGGCAAGGCGGTAGAAGTTGATGGGGGTGGTGATGGCTGCTAAATTGGGCAATTGAGATTTTTTTATTCGGTTGAAATTCAGATTATCGAAACGTCGTTTTGCCGAAACTACAATAATCGTTTCACCGGTTTTGGCACTGGTTCATTTGCGGGGGCATTTTAGCCAGAGATTAAACTTTTCTTTAGCTGTCCGACTCCATGAAATTATGCAAATTTTTGCAATTTTCGAAAGAACAAATACAAAACATAAAAGTAAAATAGTAAAAGTCGAGGTAAAGCCAAATAAAAAATTATTTAAAAATAGTTTCCGACTTTTAGTAATCGAAACTACTAATAAAATCATAAAATAGTTTGTTGATTACTAAATAGGTTGGGCTGAATAACGGAATTCCCCCCCCCCGCTAATGAACCAGAACCATACCGAAATTTCGAAAATAGACTTGGGCAAACAGCAATTAAACCGTATTGATATTTCGAAAATTAAATGTCGACATTTTCCATAGCATGGAAAAAAATTGCAATCGTACAAAAAATTACCCTAACAACCACGGCTTCCACCTTCGGTGTGTGGACGCTGTTCTTGAGGCGGTGCTGCTGGATGCGCAGCTCGGTCTCCACGTTGCGCTTCTTTCGCTCGAGCTCACGCAACGTATCGCGATACGCATCGGCGGCCGCTTGTTTCTAAACGGGAGGCAATAGAAGGGAACAGAAAATTAATAAAAAGCAGTAGAAGGAAACTCACGGCTTGTTGCACTCCATTCTCAACCTCGCGGCGCCACACCTCCTGCGTTCGGGTCTTCATCTCGGCCATCTGACGCTCCTCTTCTTCTCGTGCTCGCTTCGCCTTCGACTCGGCCTCCATTTGTTGTAGCAGAAACTCCTTCTGAAAATGGCGTTTGTAAGAAAGATGCGTAGTTTTTTATAAGTTGAGAAATGCCCAGTAAAAGTAATGCAAGTTCTAATCGTGTTTTTAGCAAAATTTAACTATATTTTAAGTCGAAAAACAATATAAAACTCACAAAACTTTTAGTTGACATTTTGGGCAAAATCGGACAATTTTGGTCACCAAATCAATATATTCGTATTTGTTACAAAAATGTTAAAGCTTTTACGTTTAGAAATAATAAAAGACAGCTTAGAAACACTTCTTCTGTTTAAATTAGAAAAAATTGGTGCGCGCCCCCGATAACGTGTACTAGTCCCTAAAAATTCTACGCTAATCGTAGTCAATAAATACCTTTTTCTGGAGCTGCTCCTCCAGCCCGGCCACCCTGCGCTCGGCCTTCTCCTTCGTTTCGATGAGACCCCAGTGATGATCCTTGCGCTTCTCGAAGTCATGCTCATCCACCGAGCGCGACTCGCCGCCCAACCGTTTGCGCAGCTCGGCCTCGACGCGGCGTTGCACCTCACGCTCAAAGTGCTGCTCCTGGTAGGCGGGATTGGCGCTAAAAATCGTTGCATCGTCAAATTAGAAAATCAAAATTGCCTAGTTGTTGAGGTGGATGGCGATGAGGACACGATCTCGATCGTCTCGTAGGGCCTCTAAAATCATAAAAAAAATAGATGCGGAATTTCGGGAGAACGGACCGATAGAACATCGACGAGTGTCTGCATCCGGGGTTGCGGGATGGCGACTTGGGGCGGGACCGGCTGCGGAATTGTCATCGACGGTGGCGGGATTTGTATCGGCATCTAAAAATTAAAAAGTATGGTTAAAACTGTAAAAGTCAAATTCATAAATTTTCTTAAAAACCACGGCCGATCAGAATCCAGACTGCTAAAATTTTGATTTATTAAAACATCGATTATGGCATCAAGAACGGCAGTATCAAAAAACGACAAAATTCGATTATCAAAGGCGTTTTTCTGTCATCGAAAATGTTTCATATTTTTAAGGTAGCCTAGACCGGGATATCATCGGAAAATCTAGAATTTCTCGTTCGGAATTTGACAAATTGAATGAACAAAATTTCCAAACTTGAAAATTCGATAATTTGGATTTCCCAATTCCAATAGGCACCAATTGGAGATCAGAAATACTTGTACCTGCTGGTGTCCATTCAATGGCGGCAGATTTGTGCCCTGGTAGAAGGACATTTGATGTTGCTGGACCATCGGGGAGGCGCCATACGGGGGAACGGCCGGCATCTGCTGCTGCTGGTAGTGCGGGGCGGCCATTTGGGGAGGCTGTTGATGGTAGGACGGCTGGGCGAGATGCGCGAACCGCACTGGTGGAGGGGCTGCAAAACTCAATAAAAATTCAGAAACCTAAAAACATACGCTGTGAAAAAGTGGGCGGAACCTGCCACGGCGACGGCTGATTCTGAAGCGGTGCACGCTGCGCGCCGGGCCGGTTGTAGCGCGACAGGGCCGAATAGTCACGGACGCCGTACTGAAAATGACATTGTGAAAAAGCGAAAAAACGTACCGTCTTTGGCAAGGGCTTGGCGCGCTTGATCCGATCCGGATGGTCGTATTTCGCCGGCGCGGCTTGCCTGTAAAATAAGCGTTATCCGTCAAGTAATACCAATCCTACCGCAATTCTGGCCTTGAAGACCTTCTGCAGGTCCTTCAGCTTCCGGTGCATCATGTAGGTGACCGTGCGCTGAAAGAAAAAATATGAAATACGTCAAATTTTGGTTCTTTCGCGTTATCCGGGGGGAGGGGGGACAAATTCTTTTCGTATTAATCTAAAACGTCCTAGTAACTTAATAGGAAGCCTTTTCATAGTGTTTTTATTAAAATAAAACTATTTTAATTGGAAAACGATCTAAAAACTTTGAAAAGTTTTTCAAAAGCTTGAAATTTTGGTCAAAACGGCCATCATTGAACGAAAAATCTATATCTTTTTTTTGTATGATTTCCTAAAAATTTGTAAAGTTTTTACGCGTAGGACGAGTAAAAAACGGCTTAAAAACGCCCCCGCGAATCATATTTAAATAATCCGTTCCTAAGAAAAAAAAGACTCTCCCCCACCGATAATGCAAAAGAACCCAAATTTTGAACTCTATAAAAATTACCACGCCCTCATCATCGAGCCCAGCTGTTTTGGCCAGTTGCAGAGCCTCCTCCATCGTGTCTGCGTCATCGATCATAACCTATAAAACACAAAATTGAAAATATTTTAACCGTAAGCAATACCTGGATTGCTTGCCGCTTCGCCGTCGACGTCAGCACGGGAGCGTACTCGTCCCGGCGTGCTCGCGCGAACCGGGTTCGGTTTCTGCGCTTGGGGGCCGGCGGCGACGGCTCGAAAATTTCCACCTCGTCATCGCCGTACGACTAAAAAAAGGTTTTTCCGGATTATCGGGAGTGTAGACCCTTGCTATAAGTCTAAAATAAATCTCTAGTAACGCAATAGCAACTGTTTTAAGAGTGTTTCTAGTAAAATTAACTGTATTTTAATTCGCAAAACAATTTTTTAAAACTAGACAAATTTTTACGTGAAAAATCGGTCATTTTTGTCGAAAACACGCTATTTTCCGCATTTCCCCTCTAAAAATTTGTACAGTTTTAACGTTCAGGAATAACCAAAAACAGTTTAGAAACACGAAACACTTCCTCAATTTCTACCAGAAAAAGTTGGCAAAAATTAAAACGTCTCCTTGTAACTAAAAGTAAAGATACTGTGCCGCTTCCAGTTGTGCGCGGCCTTCTTCGAATTACTCCGCTCGCGAGTTTCGAGCTGTTGCTCCTGGGTGTAGCGGCAATAGTTCGCGTCGTTCAGGCACTGCTGGCCAAAGGTGACGGCGTTCAGCGCGTTGTCCGCTTCGAACAAGGCTACCTGAAAATACAAAAAAATCCTCGATTAAAAAAAATATAAATAAATTTAAAAAACGTCCGAAATTAGCTCACCAAATCCACCACTCGAGGGCGCTTTCTGCCACCTCCGTATGTCGACGCATCGCTCAATTTGGGCGGCTTGCGAGAATTTGTAGACGCACGGATGTGCTGGAAACGAAACCGATTGCGGTGATAATCCGGAAAAATTGTAAATTTATAGATTGTATTTGACCCTGGCCTGGCACGCTAGTGGTACTTTTTTAGGACGCGCCGTATCGGCCGGAATCCTAGACACCGTTTTTCGAAAAAATTTCGGGCTCCGATTTTCGAAAATAGCAGTAGAAGCCCTGGAGGTCGTTCGAACATTTTAAATCAAAAATTTACCAAGCGGGTACTCGACCCAGACGGCGTCAGAAGCGGATTCCTGGCTGGTGGAGGGCTGTTGTTGCTCGGTTCCAGTGTACATCCTGATAACCGAGTTGGACAGGATCAGAAACCCATACCTCAGATTCAGCTCCTTCACCACCGCCGCCATGTGGTCCTGACGATTCGCGGAGAAGTCGGAGACCTACAAAAAAATAAAAATTGATATCAGCTCTTTAGCATTATCAAGGGGAGGCTCCAAAAAGCCCATTTAGGGTTAGTGTCGTAATAGCAAGATTATAAACGTGTCTTAGTAAAAGTTAACTATATTTGAAATGCCACAATGCCCAAAAAAGTAGACATTTCGGTCGAAAATGAGCCATTTAAGATAGAAAATCTATATTTTTTTTGCATTTGTCAATCAAGTTTCAAAGTTTTCAGATCGTAAAAACGGTATCGGAGCATGTTCTCCATTTTTCCGGCAGAAAACGTGTCCTAAGGGAAAATGTACCCCCCGGATAATGCGAAAGCACCAGAAATCGTGTTACTCTCAAAAAAAAACCAACCATATCAAGCATATTCTCCAGCACGGCCCGCACTTCAAACCTCTCCGGATCGGGCTCGACGTCACGGAGCAGGGCGACCGGCTCGCCGACGTCTGAGGACAGCTCGCGCTCCGGGGCCAAGCTCAGCCAGTTCTAAAAAAAATTTGAAAAGCAAGAATTCTGTCTACCGAAAGCGTGGCGAGCGACGGGCCGATGATCTGCGTGCTCACCGACATTCCCAATCGCCAACGGGCGCCCTCGACGATTTCGTGCCGAAGCTCTAAAAATATTGAAAATTGGCGATAATGTACTGTTGACGGGCTCCAAATGAAATACACACCACATATCTCGATAAAATCAATAAAGTTGTCGAAAAATTGTACTATAAACGTTGTTATAACTTTTTTGAAATCAATCAAATCACTATAAAACGCTAAAATCTGGCTAGATAACCGTTTTTAACGCAAAATTCTTCGTGAAAAACGCTACACACCTTCCAAAGTGCACGCCGGCGGCGCCTTTTTCAGCTGGTAATTGGCGTAGACGCGCTTCAGTTGAAGGGCTTCTTGACGGGCGGCAGTGCTGTCGTCAGCCTAGATGAATTTAAAATTACTTAAACCTCCAAAATTCTCCTTACCAGCTCGCAGATGAATTCGATCGTGTCAACGACAGCGTCCTCGTCCTTTTCCCGGAATTCAGGTGCCGGGACCTTCTCCTGATGCAACGGGTAGACGTAGCTCTTCGGCAGAGCCGTGGAACGCGCGTTGAACCGGGCCTAGAAAAAAGGGAGCTCAAGGCAAAACTGAAGCTCCTACGTCCTCAATTTTCTTCTTGTCTTCCAGCCGGGCCTGTTGCTTCGAGAAATGGGATGACTCGGCGTTTGTAGTCGGCACTAAAAATCGGGAATTACGGCGAAAACGCTAGCCAGGTTAACGGGGAGCAAGATACTATTTTAATTTAGTTGTTAGCTGCCTAGTAATACAAGATAGTTTTCAGCGCGTTCTAAACAACATCAGATCATAAAGTTTTTTTGGAAAAACAGAGAAACTGAAGTTATTGGCCAATTTTAACAATTTTTCTTAATTTTTTCCATTTTACAAATTCTTCGAACCTTTTTTGAATTTATACAATGTCTTTATATGCTAAAAAGTGGAAATATAGCCAATTTAAACTGAAAATGGCGTAAACTTATTTTTTTGCCCTACAGCGACCTTGAAAACAATTTGTTTTGCTCCCCATAACACGGATGCACTCGACCAACCTAGCCCTTTTTCCGCAGCCCTGATCTGCCATTTCCTGTGCAGCGCCGGCTCTTGTAGGCGGAACGTGCGCGACTCGAAGTGGTGATAGATGAGCGAGTCGAGGGCCCACTAATCAGGTTTTCTTGAGATTTTTAAAACGCCTACAAAGATGTTGCCATTCTCAGCCGCGTACAACATCGGGATGCGCTTCTGCAGTTGTGGCGGAAACTCGGAGCGCTTCTTCTTGGCCGCCTAAAAAGTTTGAATGCAAAATAGAAGAGCATTTACCGGTGGCTTGGCAACTTCCACTATTTCCAGCTCAACGTCATCGGTCGAGGTATCCAGTTCAATGACCTCGATGTCACTGTCATCGTTATCTGCGGCCATTTGAAGCCTAAACAAGCTTTTGGAGAAAATATGGCCAGGAAACTAAAAAAAAAGAGAAGGTAGAGGCCAAAAAACTTTGTTTTTACAGTAAGCACAACTTTAGAAGTGTTCCCAAAGTGCAATCCAACGCAATTTCCGTAAGGCGCCCTTCAGAAATAGATATAAACGCGTTAAAAAGACCGAAAAATGAACTTTGATTAGAAAAGGCGTAAAAAAATTCAAACTTTCTGGCCAGGAACAAGATTTTTAGAGATTCTACAAACGCTGATACCTTAATCACAGATATATAAAGATGTCAATCTATAAAATAAAAGAAAAATCTTCGAAAATGGGTGAAAAGAGAAATTTTTATCGGGGTTGAAGAATTTTTGCGATATTTACTAGGCGACAAACTACACCGAGGGGCGAGAGATTGGGCAGAGCGAGAGGGCGCAGACGGTCAGCCGCTGCCCGGAAAAGACTTCAGTTTGAAGAAATTTTCAATTTCAAAACTGAATAAATAGTTTTAGATCTTTAAAAGTAATTTTAACTTTTTTAAAGTATATTATTATACTATTATAGTGTTTTAGCGCATAATCAGGTATTTTCTAGACATTTCTCGCTGGTTTTTGCAATACCTTCCCTCAAATAGTTCTTTCTGAATTTTTATTTTGTTTCCAAAAGTATCGTGATTTCAGCGATCCCTCAACGATGATTGAGAATCGCCCGAAGGCCGGCGAAACCGAGGAGGACCTGCTGCGCCTACAAGCCGAATTTGCGCAATCTCAAAAGAAAGTGAGGGGGATGATCTTGATATAAGTATTCGATTTAGTGCTCCGTTCAAGTGAATCGCGTTCAGCGAGGCGCAGAGAAGAAGTCAAGTAGAACAGCTGATCCGCCAGCAGCTTCCCAGGTTTGATTTTCAGCTTGAAACTTGGTGACGGTTGGTATTTTTGGAATTTAGGGTGTAGAGATGTCATTTTGTGCGATTCTAGAGCATTAGTAAGCATTTCATAATTTTGCAAAATTGGGGCGGAAGAAAATAACCTTTTTTGCTTTAGGAACAAACATTAATCTCCTGGCCTTTTTTAATATATGCAAAGAAACGGTTTTTACACAGTTTTTACCAGTTCTAAACGTAAAAGCTTTCGGAGTTTTTAACAAAAAATATAGATTTTTCAACCAAAAATGGCCGATTTCACCAAAATACGAATTTTTGAACGTTCTATAAGTTTTTCTGCAAGTTTTGAAAGCACCATCTTTCAGCCACCGCCACCTCCATATGCGCAACGCCTTGGCGCCGAGCGAAATTTCACGGAGGGCGGCCGCTTCACGCTGAATCTGGACACGGTGGCCGAGGAGCACTTTCAACGTCAAGTGCTCTTCGGCGTCGAGGTATCGATAGCGAGAACCGGCATTTAACCGATTTTCAGGAGCGACACGCCGACATCTTGACGGGCACCGATCCGTATTTGCGTTTTTCCACAGAAATGGCGGCCGGCTACTCGAAGGATGATGGTTTTCCGGAGGTGAGCTTACATAAAGGCATACCATTTGATGCTGATCTAGGTTCTGAATCTGGCTCCATACTACACGAAAAGTGGACCACGGCGTCAGCCAATCGCTGGGCAGAGCTTCTTCGCCAGCGAATTCGACCGTATCCATGGCAAAATTCAAGGTATCACCTTTCAACTTACAGCTTTGATGGTTTCAGAATCCATCTACATCCCCGATGAGGTGGCCTCAGAAGAGCAACCATCAACCTCGGAACCTTTCGACGCCGAGAACCAGTCGCGCTTGGCGGCGATGAGCCAGGAGGAGATCAAGGCCTCGCTCAAGGAGATCGAGGAGAAATTGGGTAAATTTTTTTTTAATTTTTAAGCCTGTCTAGACCCGAAGCTGATCGAATTTCTGCGAAGCCGCAGCAAAGCCAAGAGCGCCAGCCAACGCGAGGCGAAAGAGGACGCAAAACCAAAAAGTTGGAGGATATTTAACATTATTAATCCATTTTAAGAATCTCGATTCAAGCAGCAGCGAGAAAATTGCGTTCCGGAAGCGGAAACGAAGAGCGAGGTTTGTTTTATTGGATTTTACACTTTTTGGCCTACTTATCTGACTGCTTTATTGATCTCTAATTTAAATTTAAATAATTTATCAATTTTGTATTTAGCCGCCAATCGCGTCGAAGCTGTCCGACATGGTCAAGCAGTTGGAGGTGCTCGAAGAGTGGCGGGAGGACGAGAACTATCATCGCTTGGCGGCGGTTCGTTTTTGTAGCTCTCATATGTATTTCCCTTCAGGATGCCGTCCAGCTGGACTTGCTGTCAAAGTGCGCCCAAAAGGTGTTGCCCCGCCAAGCTCAGCAAGCCACCCGCCTCTTCGACACGCTCAAACCGGCACCAGGGTTGGTTTTAGTTGCTAATTTTGGTTTATGATTTTCTGAATGTTCCGTTTCTTACGCAAGCTGTTTCAGAAGTGAAAAAGTTGACGATCCCCTGCTCCACATGGCCCAAAATGAGCTCGAGAACATCAAGGAGCTGTACCTGGAGGAAGTGTGGGTTTTTCGCGACAGGGTTTGATTTTTCGGTGTTTTCGCAATATCGCGGGACCTAAATTTTTTCCGATGAACCCAGAAATGTATTTTAATGATTTTTAATAAAATTTAACGATGTTTTAAGTGAAAAAAACATTAAAAAAAGCACTTGGAAAAAATCTTTTTCGTCGAAAACTCGATACTCTTTGTATTTTTTTGATGAAAATTTACAATATTTTTGCGTTTCGGAATAGCAAAAAAACAGTTTAGAAACGCTTCCACTATTTATATTTTAAAAAATTGGTTCTTAAGAAAAAATTCTGTCTCCTCCCCCCAATAATGGCAAAGTACCGTTTTTCTCTTCTAGACGCGACGGAGACAAATCGGTGCTGCAATTCGCCAACGGGCTCAACCCGGTGGTCGATGGGGCTTGGATGTTGCGACCGATTCGAGCCGTGCTCGACGCGATGCAGGCTGGCGAGAGGTGATCTGGCTATTTCCGCTTTGTACGCTATTTTTTAAGAACAGCAACCCCGGAAGACGTGGAAATCGTTCGATTGGCGCTGCTGTGGACATTGCTTCTATTCAGTGAACGGCCGACGCTCTTCCATACGATGGTCGACCCGAACGATTTGTACGTGCGGCTGAGCGAGACGTTTTTGATAGGTATGTATTCGGTTAATTTGATATACTAATGTCGAAATTCGTAATCTCGAAATTTCTAAACGTCGAAATTATGATTTCTGAAAATTTTCGAATGAAATTTCGATGTGTCGAATTTTTTTGCTTGGGAAGTGGGGATTTCCCGGAAATTTTCTTATGTAAATTGCAACGCTATGAATTCCCACATTCTGAAATTCGGCATTATGAGAATTCGAGATTTTGAATTTCGATATTTTGAAGTTTCGGCATTTTGAATCTCGACATTTTGAAAGTAACCCATCCGGCTCAAGCTCAACAGCTTGATTTAGGACCGGAAGTGTTCACGGATAGCGTCATCGACGAGATTCTGGCCCGACTCTTCACCGGTTTTTTGCTGCCGTTGGCTGAGAAGGGACGGCTGATGTTGCGGCTGGAGAAGCCGGTGGCCGGTCTTGATGCTTTTATGCCGTTGTAAGTCCTAATATTTAGGTTTTTTTTCTTCAATGATCCAAATTTTACTGCTGATTACGCTTAGTTTTGAT